TTTTTTTTTGCGTTGCCGTTCACATTTCCAAATATATATACAACTTGTATGTGATCTCCTGTGTGAACTGCAGTTATACAACGCAAGTGTCCCGCATGCGCAGTAGAGGACGCGATGACATCACAGGCCAGCGTGCTCTGTGTTTACGGAAGTAAACATGGATGGTAGTGCCGGAGCGCATATAGCGATCTTTTCCCAACCATAAAAACACAATCTTTTTAAGATGGTTGACCATAAATACTGCTCTCCGCATCATCATCTGCCATGGTTGTTGTTTTTCTTGCCGCTTCTTCATAGCAAGACGTATAATAGTGACCTTTGTCGAGTATTAATGGCGTTCAGGTCGGATGAATGCGACCTGGCCGTTCAGACACAGGTCGCATTTGAAAAGATCAGATTCGTATCGGATTCAGGACCGCAGGGCCAAGTGGCCTGGGTCGCATTGGAAAAAAATTGGATCTGTGTTGTTCAGACTGCCATTAAAAGGTCAGATACAGGTCGCATATGGGCCAAAAAAAATCAGATTTGGGTCACTTCAGGCTGCAGTGTGAACGTAGCCTAAGTTAAACACTGAACAGGCGTTAAATTAGCCTGGGCTCCGATCGGCATGCTGTGGGAACACCATGGCCCTCTAAATTACGTGACACCATTAAATGCAACGTAATGACATCAACACACTGCGTCAGTCGCTTATGATTTAACGAACAAAAACAAACGTTTACATTCGATAAACATGGAGCAGCCGTGGTGAGAGGGATTCAGACAGATAATAGAGCGGAACATGTTGCTCTCCATTGTTTTCTTTCCTGATTTCTGTTGCACTGGTGACACCATCAACGCTAACCTAGCTTGATGATGTCACCAGACACACAGTGGCGGGGGGTGGACAGAGGCCATGCAGCTGCCAGCGAGGGGTTAGACAAGCTTTTTATGCAAGTGGAAAGGGAGCAAAATGCTAATTGTTAGCGGGTGGGAAATAATCTTAAGCATCCTATTGATGGACCAGAGAGGAACCAGGAACAGTTATTGGAGGGTTATGTTCATGGCTGACAAATGCTGCATGTCTGTGATTGGCAGAAAAAGAGCTGTTGTTATGCGGCTCGTGTTTCCTGATAAGACGTGTGTATTTGGAGTCTGCAGCTTGGAGATAACTCCTCCGCACCGTTTGTTTCTAACAGCTCCCAGATGGGGTGAACGTGTCCAAAGAGGCCCGGCGAGCCATTTCCCAGGCGGCCAGCGTGTTTGTGTTGTATGCCACCTCCTGGTGAGTCGCCAAAATCCAGTTATTGACAGGATTCACTTTCTAACCCATAAAGTTCAAACTAAAAGTTTCTCTCCTGGTTTCAGCGCTAATAACTTTGCCTTGAAGGCCAAAAGGAAAACTTTGAATGCAGGAGACGTGCTAGCAGCCATGGAGGAGATGGAGTTTGAGAGATTCCTGGAGCCACTCAGAGAAGCTCTGGAAGGTAAGGACCTTCTGAAGCTGCTGCTTCCTGGTCACCTGATGGCTCTGCATGAAGAAGATCAAGGTCCCATCTTTCTGATCCAGACTCTTTTAAAGGTGGCCTTAGATTACAAAACCTTCTGCAGTGTCGGTTGGGCCTGATTCAGAGTGTATAGAAAACGGAATCCCATTGCATACAGCTTACAACAGTGAAACAGTGAGACGAACATGAACATTTATAGCGTGCAGCAGTGATCAGGATGTAAACAGTGTAGGAGAAAAGGAAACTAGTTTAGAAATAATGGTGCAAAAGGGCATTAATATGAAAAGGTTCAAATAAATGTGGTGCAAAATGCAGAAGAACATCGAGTCGTTTCCTGTTTAAAACCCACCACCAAGTACACCTTCCTCCAGTCTGAGTCGCTGCAGCCTCCACACCACACGGCTGCTCAGAGCGAGTAAGAAGCCCTCCTCAATGGAACACAGACGACGCAATTCACCACGGCTCAGTGTGGCCACACCTCCAGGGAAGTGGAAAGGTGGGCAGAGTCCCATTCCTCCTGTTCTTGGAGATGTGGCCACAGACTGAGCCCTAATAATCTGAGATCTGATCTAATCAGCAGCTGGTTGGAAGGTTTATTCAGTGGGAATAAAATAAACAGAACTGCACTGGAAAAAATCAAAATACCACAGTACTTTGGTTTGGCTTCAAGATCATTCAAAAACCATTAGGTTAGTTTTCAACTTGAGCAGAGAAACCAAACATTGAGAGTCAAGAGGAACAAGCAAAATCAC